GGGGGGGGGGGGGGGGGATAAAGGGAAACGAGGCGCGCGTTCATACGGGAGCGCCGCCGCGGGTAAACAAACGAGCGGTCACGCGTGTGTGTGTGCGTGCACGCGCGTGTCATACCGGCGCTCTCTCGCTCCGGCGCGTCCTTCTATTATTACAAAAGACACGCGCTGCAGGAAGCGGGGGCACAAAGCAAGAGGGGGGAGCCGGACGTCTCTCGGCGATGGACCTCCCCTCTCGTGCGCGCGCGTGCTCAAGAGGAATTTCGCAGGCACGTTTAAATTACACCACGACGATTCCGAGGTGTAGGAAAGGGAGAAACTAGGTTAGTCGCGGGCCGTTTGGCTTTTCTTTCTTTCTCTTTTCCACTTAACTCCGACTCTGTTCGTCGGCCGACGGTCGACAGCGCTTGGTGAAAAATCCGCGTCTCTCGCGGCGAGAGTTCCGCGCGTTAACGGCCGCTCGTAAGCTCCGAGGATCGTCGTCCGAGCTCGCACAATGCTCGCGAATCCTTCGGCCAACGAGAGCCCAAATAACGGACATCGAGATCTTTCTTCTTTTATTACCGAGGTAGGTGGAAAGTTTCACTTCCATCGCGCGCTTTGTCACGTTGCTACTTGGATTAACGAAGTCCCACATTAACCCTAGGTTACTAAACTATTCTATGATTTACGTTAATTCTAAAGTTTCGTAAAAATTACGACGGAGACATGCGACATTTTAGAAAAATATTCTTACTGAAAGGTAGAAACTTACGTTACGAATATTTACGATAATCAGGCTTAAAAACTATGAAAAATTGAGACAACAATTATTCGACATAACCTGAACACACGTTGACATTATGGATTCGACGTGTTGCTGTCTTACAGCCAATGCAAGTCAGTTGTTATTTTCTTGGATTTAGACGAACGGAACAGGGCGCGAACTGTGTGGCAAGAACGTTATAATTTTTACAAATTTAATGATCTTAAGTTAACCCGTTGCGGTCTTATGTCGAGCGTCACTCGACACAGCGTTTCGTTCCAGCAAGTCCTATGTCGAGCGACACTCGACACCACGTTTCGTTCCAACGCGTCCTATGTTAACAGAATCTTCATCGTACGCTAAAAGAGTAATTATCAACATAGGATTAATGCCTCTCAGTGACATAAAATGTTATTGGAACACACAATGCCACGCAAATATACATATATATATATATATATATGTACCAAGCGGATGAGCGATTGGCGAAATCTGTGCGGACCGGCTGGGACGAAATTGCGAATACAGCGCGGACCGCAAATAAAAAAAAGAAGAGTGTTGCAACCTTTTCGTGACAAATTCTTTTGTTTGAAATGAACGCTGCACACGTCACCTTTTCAACGATATGTCTTACGGAGATGGCGGTATTAATGACAAAACTCTACGCCGCTTCTAACGCCATCTATTGCACCTCCGCACGAACTTTTGCACTCACCCAATACATGCGAAAGTTTGNTAACAACGAAAGTTTGCATTCGTCGTTTTATTCCTTATTCGTTCGCTCAGTGTATATCCAGCTTTAGCTATCGCCAGACGGCGATTCTTCAGGAGAAAAAAAGAGAGAGAGAGAGAGAGAGAGACGCGTGTTCTTTGCGCCAGACGTCGATACACGGCTTTTTCGCGAGGCATCGAAAGGTCGTCCGGTACGCGATAACATCTGACGGCGGCGCGTCGTCGTTCCAACATTCGCCCAGCGTGACTTTCGACTTCGAAAAGTAGACACGCGCGCCTGCGGTGGAGAGGAAGGGGGGGGGGAGTAGGGGGAAGATAAAGAGAGAACGGGCTCGCGCGGCGTGACGGCGACTTTGAACGGTGTCGCCGCCGGCGCTGATTAGCGCGTTACGCGCGATAAATCGCGTCTCGTCGGCCACCACTGTCATTTGCGACTTCGCGACACGTACGGCAGCAGCGACGGCGGCGGTATCGTGAGTCATCATCGACGCGCCGGAATTCATAAAGTCGACTGTTTTAACAACGGTCATTGGCTAACATCGCGCGACCGCTCCTCACGGTCACCTCTCTCTCTCTCTCTCTCTCTCTCCAGCGTGTGTTCAAGATAAGTCTTAATATCTCGAATTAAATATACAAACCTTGGACACAAACTTAGTACGATGCACTAAGGAAAAATGTCTCATACGTGTAACTGTAACCGCGCATAACGGAGAACTATTGTAGGGCTAAACATTTCTGCACGCCAAGAGAAAAGAATTTCTTTGAATTAAATAAAATTTCCTTAATTGAAACAAATTTGTCTCTCGAAGTAGAGCAAACGAATGTTGGATTCATAAAATAGAATTATTAAAAGTATTTGAAAGAAGTAACACTATGTTAGGGAAGTATTAAAGAACTGCTTTGTTTCAGTGAAACAATATATTTATGACAACTTATAAACAATATAACTTAACATATAATGACATTTCTTTTATTGAAAATCAAATAGTATTTTCTCTGAATAATATTGTTTTTTCTATTAAACAACATAGTTTATACTAGTGAAGTAACATTTTCATTCAAACAAAATATTAAATTACATTATTTATATTAAACAAATCTAAATCAAACTAACACGTATGCTAAATCCAAAGAAACCTTTTTCTCTGT